TCGGCCCTCGTTTCAGAGCCGGGCGGCTGGAGGAACAGCGAGGCCCAGTATGCAACATTTTGTTGTGGGTCCCCACTTGTTCCAAAAAGCATCCGAGTGCCTAACAAACTCGAACCCTTCCTCCCTACACCATTGTCTCATCCATGCATTGAGACGCCTGATCTGTGCCTGTCTCTCCGGCCCTGTGCGTGGAAAGGTAGCACTTCTGAGAAGGCTACCTTGGAGGTCTTGGCCTTGAGTTTCCTGCCTAGCAGCCTAAATTTTTCCTCTAGGACCTCACGACTGCATTTTCCCACATCGTTGGTGCCAACATGTACCACGACCACTGGCTCCTCCCCAGCACTGTCTACCAGCCTATCTAGAACACACGTACTGTCCGCTACCTTCGCACCAGGCAGGCAAGTCACCATACGGTCAGTACAAGGGTTCGCCACCCAGCTGTCTACCTGCCTAAGGATTGAATCACGAAATACCAAGGGCATCTCTCCCCCTCTGCCCAGGGACGGTTTCTTGGTGCAAAAGGATACCCATTCACCAGCTGAAGAAGAGGTCCCTTCTGAGGGCACATTCCCCTTATCCTCAGCACGGTGCCCTGTTTCCTCTCAACCCTCCTGCTCCCTGACAGCGGGGGTGTGTGCCATTTTCAGAGTGGGACATATCTAACAAGTCCCCGACAGTCTTCTCCACCCACCTGACTGTCTCTGCTTCTCCAGGTCAGCCACCTTGGTCTCAAGGGTGGACACTCGCTCCCTGAGAACCAGGAGCTCCTTGCACTGGGCACACACCCATGATTTCTGTCCAGTGGACAAATAGTCATACATGTGACACTCTGTGCAAAACACTGGATAGCCTTCAACCCCCTGCTGTCATTCTGCCTTCATAATTGCTTTTTAAAAAACATAATTATATATAATCCTTCTTTTAAAACCCTTCATATTTATGTGGTTATCCTTGCAGAAGTCCCAGTAAGGTAACACAAGGAAACTAGGGTCCTGGATTTCCAATCCTTCCTGGTCTTCTTACAGAGCCCCTAGTCTAAGAGTCCCTAGGTCAAACATAATTATATATAATCCTTCTTTTAAAACCCTTCATATTTATGTGGTTATCCTTGCAGAAGTCCCAGTAAGGTAACACAAGGAAACTAGGGTCCTGGATTTCCAATCCTTCCTGGTCTTCTTACAGAGCCCCTAGTCTAAGAGTCCCTAGGTCAAAAGCCCTTCGGCTCGTGCCTCTGGCGAGGTGCAGCCTTAAATAGAAGCCTCACCCAGCAGAGGGCAGAGCCAGCAGCTATTCAAATTACACCCAGGCAATCCAATTACAGTCAAACAATCACCCTTTCTCAGGCAGCCAGGATTCTGCAAAAACTTTAAACTCACCCACACTCTCTCAGTCTTCCCACACAGTACGCTCAGCTAAATCTCCTCAGCTGAAAGCAAATAAAAAATACTCACCCCTCTAGCAGCTCTGTCTCCTGCTGCTTCTCAGAGCTCAGCTGTATACCTGGATATTTTAGCATCACTAGTTGTAAACAAGTACACAAGATAAACCAAGAATATTAAACAATTTTTATCATTCCAGAGGGGTCGTTGTGTTAGCCAGTTGCAGCAAAAACAAGAGCTCTAGAATGTTCTGAAAGATTAAAATAGCTGCTGTTGGTTTTTGCATACTGCAGATTCTAAAGGCAGATATGTCTATTTCTGTGTATAGTTCAAAAACACATGATGGTATATATCACATTGGAGGATAAACCCAAGATGATACAGCTGATGCCTATGCTATTAGGTCCCTTACTAAGGGATGCCAACCTCCAGATGGGGACTGGGGATCTCCCAAAATTACAGTTTATCTCCAGGCTACAGAAATAAATTTCCTTGGAGAAAATTGATGCTTTGGAGAGTGAACGCTATGGCATTTTACCCCACTGAGGTCTCTGTCCTCCCAAGGCTCTGCCCCCAAATCTCCAGGAGTTCCCCAGTCTAGAGCTGGCAACCCTATGCCCCTGCAACCCTTAATAATCTTGCCAGGGGGGAAGCATGATATGGCATCTTGGTTTGCTGGACATAGAACAAACAGGTCTATGCGTAAACAAAACAATAAATGGACACAAAACTTACATTAGAAACTGCAATATTCAGAAACTACAGCATAATCAGTTGCTGATCTAAACGTCACCATTCTCCAGCAAAATATCTTCGATGGGATCATCCTAGGGTTGCCAGCTCTGGGTAAGGAAATACCTGGAGATTTCAGGGAGCAGCCTGGAGAGGCTGGGGCTCAGGGAGGGGAGGGGAGTGACCTCAGCAGGGCATAATGCCATAGAGTCCACCCTCCAAAGCAGCCATTTCTCCAGGGGAACAGATCTCTATAGTCTGGAGATTAATTGCAAAACCAAGAGATCTCCAGGCCTCGCCTGGAGGATGGCAACCTTAGATAATCCAGACTGAAAGCACTGAATTAAAATTTCCTGAGAGGTTTGACATCTCCCCACCCCCACTCAGGGCTGAACAAAGATAGGAGATGTCTTAGTCATTGTATGCTTTAACTTTTAGCAAAGCCTCACACTCCCCACCCATTGTTAAGTGTGAACTCTTAGCACTAGTGAATAGTCTCTGTACTTTCCCTGATTTTATTTGAATTAGATTTTACGGCCCTTTGACCATGCTGTTATTTTTCTTTACATCTCCTACATAAAACGTTTGCTTAGTGAGGAATCACTGCACTTAGTGCACTACACCTGAAGTGGGCACTAGTCCATGAAAGCTCATACTATAATAAAATTGTGTTAATCTTTAAGGTGCTCATTAAAGTCCTATTTATATTTTACAATTTCAGTTTTTTAAAAAGAGCCCAAAAGAGTACAGACACACAAAAAAGAGGACATATCCTCTAAAAAGAGGACATCTGGTAACCCTTGTAATGCATCATACAGTAAAAAGTATACTCTTTCCTGCATAAAATACTACATTTCCCATCAATCAGAGTGATCCGACTTTAATATTATTAAACGCATGCTGGGTGATGTAGTTTCTTTAACAGCCACTGAAGCGCAAGCCCTCACATGATAGTCTGGAGAATGCGGAAAGGAGTGGCAGGCAACAAAAGTGCCTGAAAGAAACACGCTCTGGGGAGGGTAGTGAATGTGTGTCCCTTTCTAAAAGAAGGAAGCAGTGGTTAAGATTTCACTTCACCTAACCGTCTATAAGCCTGTTCCTCTCTAGCTGCGGGATTCGTTTGGCAGGGCTCGGTGCATTTCCTCCACGGCACAGCTGTGTGAAAGTTCGGTTGCCTGCCCAGCAAACATGTGAGCAGTGCTTATTCATCGGGTAGAGGACGCTTGGGATGCATTTATATTTTGGGGTTGGTTTGTTTTGAGAAGTAAGTTCTTCTCCCGGTTAATAGTGATTTTAAAAGCTTCAGCGTGCTGGCTCTCTGAATTCCCGGCAAGAACTGTTATAGGAAGTCAAACGCGGAAGCTACACACCAATTTTTGTCCCTCTTCCTCTAACTTCGGGGCACGCATGGAAGAAAGATGTCCTTTTTTCTGTGGGAAATGATGCTTGTAGACGGAAAGAGGTGTTAAGGTCTGGACTGCTTGAGTTTCGAAGAGGCTTCGTTGAACGCACGGATTTTGCTTCTCTGTAAAGGAAAGTCAGGTGCTTGTTTTCAAGCGTGGCAGAGGATTCTGAAGAACAAGCAGAGCGTGCTTCTGTTAGTCTGCTTGGGTGTTTCAAAATATGGGTCATCACGACCATATGTTTAAAGTTCTAATTATTGGGGATGCCACAGTTGGGAAGACCTCGCTGGTTCAGCGGTATGCGAACGATAGTTTCAACAAGCATTATAAATCCACTGTGGGAGGTGAGTGATTTTTCTGCTTGCACACTAATAAGAGACATATCTGCAATGAATGATCGGTTGTAATGAAATTTTTAAAAATGGTGATTGACTCTAAAGGTTTGCTGTCTTTTGACATACTTTCTGATTGTATGCCTTTTGTTTCCATATACACCAAGCACTGTATTGGGGCTGACTGTCTTGGGCCTTGCATTGTCCTCTTTCATCCTAGAATCCTTGTGGTCTGTGCCATGTATTAAATTTATCAAGTGAAAGTGCACTTTTAGGCTATCTGAACAATTAAGGTAGAGCATAGAGTGATCCTGACAGACAGATAATAAAAAAAATGCCTTGTAGCATCAGGCAACTCCACCATTCTTGGCAAGCATCCTAAGGCTTGGTGGTCCACGAGAAATTGATCAGTGGACCACCAATGGATTCTAATCTATTTTATGTCTACTGCTGTCTGCATTTGTTCTATCTGTAGGTTAAAGTAACGGTGGCAGTCCTGCAACCACATCCTGAGGAATTTCCCTTTCTCCTCATGCCTTCCAGCCTGATGGAGGGTTTTAGTGAACTTGAAATCTCACACAGTTACGTGTCACTTGGCTGGTCCTAGCAAAAGGCATTATGGAGATTGTGAGGTTGTTTTATGCAAAATGTATATTAATATGAGTTGGAGAGGAAGGGTTTAGGCTGCATGTGTCTGTAAAGGGTGTTTGTGGGTAAGGGGAGGGGAATGATCCTTTCTGGTTTCTACATTTTGCAAGTAATCAATTTGAGTGTATTGGTTAGCTACCCTCTCAACAACAGTAGTGTGTGTGATGTAATAAAGACAGGGTGTGAGTAAGAGAGCGCATGCAAGTTTCACAAGGGCAATAATTTCTTGAGTTACTTCCTATATCTTGATGTTATCAGTATTGGTGTTTCTGCATGCAGCAAATACACACAGCATGTGCGATGTTCTAGCCCAACAATGTGGCTTTAGTGATGAGCCCATCCTCTGTGAACAGTGGGTCTCTAGACAAGATCTGAACTTCATGCAGGTTCTGTATCCAGACTCTCCCCCCCGCCGCCGCCTTTTGTTTGTGAACGTTGCTCCCTCTAAGCTGTGGACTCTTGTGAGCAAAAATTCTACTTTGTGAGTTACTGACATTAAACATGTGAGTGAGCAATTTGGCTAGTGCATAAATTAGTTTGCTCTGGAGCCATTCTTCCTGAGCTAAGACAAAAACGTGTGAGCTGGAGGTTTAAAAACTGTGAGCTAGCTTACACTAACTCAGCTTAGAAGGAACACTGTGTGTGAAGTCTATGGTGACGTGACAGCCTCTCTGAGTATGTTTGCTTTAATTGGACCACCACCCTTTTACCAGCTTGGTAGTGGTTAGGAGCATGGACCCTAATCTGGGGAAATGGGGTTTGATTCCCCACTCCTCCACATGCAGCTGCTGCTGTGACCTTGGGTCAGTTACTAGTTCATTCAGAGCTGTTCTCTTGGGAGGAGTTCTTGAAAGAGCTCTCTCAGCCCCACCTACCTTACAGGTGGGAGGGTAGGGGAGGGGGAGAGAAAGGAGATTGTAAGCCACTCTGAGACTCTGAGTGAAGGACGGGGTATAAATGGGATTTTGTTTTCATTACTTGAACTGGATCAATATGTTGTTGGCTATTGCATCATTTACCTCAACTAGAGCCTTTGAAGCAGCCACTATCATTTATGGCAGGAGTGCGACAGGGTATAAATAGGATTTTGTTTTCATTATTTGAACTGGATCAATAAGTTGTTGGCTATTGCATCATTCACCCCAACTACAGCCTGTAAAGCAGCCACTATCATTTATGGCAGGAGTGTCAAACTCATTTGTTATAAGTGCCGGATCTGACATAAATGGGACTTTGTCGGGCCAGGCCATGTGTGTCATAAAATGTAATGACACTTTATAAAGGGCACTGAGAAACACAATTAAAGGTTTTTTAAAACTTAAAATACAAACATGCTTAAAACAGTAACACTCTTGCCATATTTTATTTAACAGTCTTTGATAACTGACACCTTCCAAACTTTCCCCGCTTGCCCTTAAAAGATGCCTACCGAAAATGGAGAAGTGGGGGGATAGTGGGATTTGGCAATACAATTGTTTAAACAAAACATCAAGAAAAATACAAGGATCACAGCAAAAACTAAAACTAAAAATATAAAATGCTCTGAGCCTAGGAAAACATGAAATGGCTGGGTATTGCAGGCAGTGGCTCTCCAGTGTAATGTCCCGCTATGGCTGTGAGTTCCCAGGTTAGGGTACTCAGGCAGCCGTTCTCAGGTCCATGCAGCAGAGACAAGCTGGCTTAAAACGTCAGCTCTTAATTTGCAAGCAGACAACTTCAGCTGGCATTTCCAACACTGGAAACTGAAACTCCACTCCATTGAAATACATTGCAGCTCAAAAAAAGTTGCAAAGAAAATGCAGAATGGATTTTCCATTAAGGTTTCTGGGCCCGGATAGACTACTCTGGGACTGGAATGACAGCCCCCCAAGTGGAATTACATTCCCAGAACACAGCTGCTACTCCCAGGGATTGTCATTCCACTCTGGGGGCTGTCGTTCCAGTCCCAGAGTGGTCTATCTGGGTCCAGAGACCTTAAAGGAAAATCCATGCCACATTTTCTTTGCAACTTTTTTTGTGCTTTAGCCCAGAGGAACTTCCTGCCGGTGAAGAAACCAGTGAAGACAAGGTCCAGCCAACTGGGAAGTTCGGCAGCCCTGGAAGGATGAGGACAGGCAGGGGGAGGGGTGGGTGGGTAGAAAAGAGAGCTGCGGGCCTTCGCGGGGAGGGTGGGATATAAATCCAATAAATTAATTAAAGCCTTGAGCGTGCCACTTCCGGCCCGTGGACCTTAGGTTTGACACCCCTGATTTATGTTACATAGGTACTGATGGAAGATAAGTATTCTAAATTTGCAAGAAATTTTTTGGCAGGTCAGAGTGTTGCTTATTCATAATATAGTGTGTGCTGTGTGCCATTGTCACTTCTGACTTACGGCAACCCTCGGAATTAATGATCTCCAAAATATCCTATCGTTAATAGCCTTGCTCAGGTCTTGCAAACATGGCATCCTTGATTTACTCAATCCCTCTCATGCTGGGTCTTCCTCTTTTCTTTCTGCCATCAGCATTTCCTAGCATTATTGTCTTTTCCAGTGAGTCTTGTCTTTTCAGGATGTGACCGCTACTACAGCCTCAATTTGGTCAAGTTAGCTTCTAGGGAGAGTTCAGGCTTGATTTGATCTGTAACCCACGTATTTGTCTTTGTGGCAGTCCATGGTGTCTGTCAGGGCTTTTTTGTAGAAAAAGCCCAGCAGGAACTCATTAGCATAACAGACCACACCCAACAACAGACACTCATTAGCATATTAGGCCACACCCTTGACAGCACAGCCCATTAGCATATTAGGCCACACCCCCACGTTACCAGAAGTGTGGTCCAGCCACACCCACCTTTTGCTTCTTATTTTGTTTACCTTGTTGTCAAAGCCTGGAGCTTTTTTTGTAGCAGGAACTCCTTTGCATGTTAGGCCACACACCCCTAATGAAGCCAATTCTAATGAGTTTGTGCTGTTGGGTGTGGCCTATTATGCTAATGACTTCCTGCTGGGTGTGGCCAACTCAGGAGCCAGCCGGAACTCCGTTCCTGTGTGTTCCTGCCCAAAAATAGCCCTGGAAGTAGTACATCTCATCTTCCGATACCGCATTTCAATTTTCTTCCTGTCAGCTCTCTTGGAGTGAGAACTAAACCTGTGCAATGATTTTGCTGAACTCCTATTCAGCCCTTTCCTCAGCCATTTTCTTTTTTCCCCTTCCATGGCTGCCCAGTGGACTTTGCTCTGAAGGTGGTGCAGTGGTCAGAGTCTGAGACTGTGAGGCTACAGCTATGGGACATCGCAGGTGAGCTACATGAACTTTCCTGGATTTGTATAGCATTTGAACATGTGCTGTAATTATGTTACTTATTTGTCTTTTCCCTTCAGAAAAGCATAACTCCCAAGTGCTGTTTCTGTTACTCAAAAAAATCTGGTGTGTTTAGCATTTATCCCTGCAAAAATAGGAGCTTTGGAAACCAAAGATTTGCTTAGAACAGAATTGAGCACTTTGGTCAGCAGTAAAGACACGTCAGCTAGAAGATCAGAGCTTATTTTATTATGTTTAGTGATCTGTCGTGTTGTCTGTTTGTACTTCTCTCTGTCTGTCACACCCATGGAACAAACTTGTGAATTTTGGCAAGACAGCCAAATTGAAACTTCCTGGCATTCCCTATTTATGAGTTCATCTGTTACTAATTGGAAGTGGTCTGATGGCATAGCTGATGCATTGGTGATTGTGGTTGTCTTCCTGCCACCTTCACTAACAGGGACACAGTCCTCTCTGACTGGGTTTTCACAGTTCTACCTCTGAGACTGACCCATGTCAGAAGGGATAGGCAATTATTAAGGAAGGATGAACTCCTCTAGTCTTGAATCCCATATAGTTTTGCCAATTGTGAGAGGCATCAGCAAACACTCCACCCTCATGCATTCCTCAAAGCATATTTGACTTAAAGAAAACCTTTGTAGGCGGTGTACTAATGCTCATCCATGATAATAAAAACATTTTGAAAATGGCTTCCTCTTGAGAAAAAAAATTGCTATGTCTTCTTTAAGCTTTTTCAGTCTAAAGGAGTGCAATTTAAAAACTGCTCATAATATATTTGATATAAATTATAAGCAGATGATTTTTATCAGCAAGGAGCTCACCACAACATATAGTCAAGTGTCAAGACTTGCATATCAAGCCCAATATTCAAACTTTGATTCCATCACTTTGAAAAGGGAAGCAGAGGGAATTAGTTCCTCTGCCTGAAAGATTCTGTCAGTTGCTTCTCGATTGCTGGACATATGGCAAATGCCATATTGACATGGTCTGAATCAACAAAAGATACACTCAGCCTATTTGCAAGGCTTGCCGTTCCCATTTTAGCCAGGTAATATAGGTAATATTGTGCCTTGCTATTTTTGTCTGCTTGTGTTCTCTTAAATAAACTGGCTTGTTCTTCCAAAAGAAAAACTTTTTTTGACATGTGCCATCAAGAAAGGGGGGAATCTTAAATTGGCATACAAATTATAGTTTATGTACAATAATAAAACCTTTTTGTATATAAACTTTTTTAGGGGGGTCATCTTACATTCAGGGTTGTCTCCCTTTTGGGTAAATGCAGTACCTTTAGCAAAGGGAATTTAGATCTCATGTTGGGACAGATAGGTGTGGGTCCCAGGCCTTAAAATTGTTCATTCCATCAAGTTGTGTTTATTTTGGCATGTCTGCATTGGTCCTAACAAATTTGGTGGTGGCAGTTGTTAAACATATGTCCTTGGTGTGAGTATTTTAGTGCTGTGCAAATACAGTTGGGCTGGGAAATGAAAATAAGGAAAGAGGGGAGAGAAAATACTCATCTGTATCACATAAATTTTGTGAACTTGCTTACTGTGTTCTATCTGTAGTGCAGCTTATGCAATCTTCAGTGTAAATCCTGGAAATGTCCATTCTTGGAACACCCTGGAGATGGCTACAGGTAATGGGTGGTGCAGTTAAAGCTTATTAAGGCTACATATGTTACTTACCTTATTGCATACCCAAACCTTTGTTTGCTGGTTAAACCTTTATGATTTCCACTGCCAAAGAGAGAATCTACTTGACTTATTTCTTCAGCAATTGGGAATCACAGTAGTGAGAACAGCAAGCGAAAACTTTGGCTATGGGAAGATTTCTCTTCCTCTCATCCACATCTCTCTTGCTGCTCAGTGAGGATGACTGATACTCACCCATATTCAAAGTGACTTTCAGACGATGAGTCTGGCTTCCCTAGCAAAGCACCAGTAGTGCTCAGGGAGGCATATGCAGCTTTCTGAACCAGAAGACAGAGTACCAGCCCCTCTCAGGTGGACCAGTTCAGAAAATCTCCAATATGTGTGTTAATGCTTATGTTTGGAGTGAGCAGAGCAATGGTAGTGACAAGATTTATTTCTGCTATATTTCACCTTTGATTATTTATTTAGGTATTCATACCCTGCTTTACTCTCACATATGACCCAAAGCAATTTCCAGTATTGTTATCCCCTCCTCCATTTTATCTTCCTAACAAACCTGTGAGGTAGGCTAGGCTGAGAATGTGCAGCTGGCCCAAAGTCACCCAGCAAGTTTCCATGGCAGAGTGGGGGTATCAAGGAGTCCACAGCTGAACCCAGTGGGTCCCACGGGGCTGTTGGACACAAGTAACCAGACCTCTATTAAAAAAAAAAAAGATTATAAGATTTTATTTAACTTCTGTCAAAATAAAGGATTACGCTACAGACAACACATTGCTCTAAAATCGTGCAGCAGAAAAACAAGAAAGCTAGCTCAACTATCTAACACTTTTCAGGATTTAGGTTAGATGGCACAAACCTTAAATTCCAAAGTCAAAGGCCAAAGCTCAGGCCTTCTCTATGTGGCTAGCAATTGCAATTCAAGCATTATCATAGTTCAGGACTCTGGTCCCATAGAATCTAAGCTAGTCTTTCTTCTTCAGGGCCTCAATTCAGTTATAGTTTTGGGCCCAGAAACCTCAGGTGCTGATGACATCGAATCAGGACACGTTCTCAGGAGAAGCCTCTAGAAGATTACCTCACCACCCCGACCCTCCTCCTTGCATCCTACGGGCATGTGTTCTCATGAGAAGCTAATTACAACACTTCCATCTTTTGGCCTTGAAACCGATAAGGCCGAGAGACCAATTAGTAACACCTGCAGGATGGACAAGACCCATTACTGTTCATATTAACCCTTGAGGGGGAGGCCAGGGGGTGCTTTGCCTCACAGGGGGTTTCAACCTGAGTCTCCCAGAGTCTGGTCTGTCACTCTAACCACTACACCATGCTGGCTTTATCACAGGCAGTTCAAATGTTAAGGCTTGAAGCATACTATGAGTCCATTTTAGGCCATCCTGCTTCCTCCTTTTTCTTCATTTCACTTGCTACCAGGCAGCAAATAGGAGTGAATCCATTGGCATTATAAGGCTGTGTTTTATCTTCTCTTGGTTCTCATTTCTGTATTTGTGGAGGTCATGAAGACTAACTGTTAATTATGTGGGCCACTAGGGACAGAGTTTGAGAAGATAACAATTAAACCTCCACTTTCCACTTCCAGGTCAAGAGCGCTTCACGTCCATGACTCGGCTGTACTACAGAGAGGCGTCAGCCTGCATTATCATGTTTGATGTCACCAGCATTAGCACCTTCACCAGCTGCCAGAAATGGAAGCAGGATTTGGACAGCAAGCTGAAGCTGCCAGATGGAAGCCCTGTCCCTTGCTTGCTGCTGGCTAATAAAGTGAGGGAGTGCAGACTGGAGAGGTCCAACCTTTCCGCTAGGCAACTCTAGGTGGCTAACTAGGGCAACTGAGGGTGGAGGACAGGGAAATATGCAACCGTGCTGTTGCTCCAGCAGCAAATGGAACGGATTTAGCTTTCCTAACATCTCTTTTGTGCATTTAGTTTTTGCTGCTCAGAAATGGAGAAGGGACAAAGAGGAGATGGTGGCCCCAGTTCACTAAACAAGCAGTTGATTTCCATGGCCAAGAAACTCGTTTTGATGTTTTGTGAGAAGCAGCAGCATTGTTGCATCTTCTAGGAGTTATTGGGAGACACAGAGTTTGTTGGCAGGGGTAGCCAATAGGAAAAGGTGGGGGGATGAGAAAAAGAGAGTCTGTTGCAAAGGCAAGGCAAGGAAACAACTTATAAAAGATGGCTTATGATTGCTTAGTCTGGTTCCTCCATTTTAGCCCATAGGAAAAGGTGGGGGGTTAGGGTGAACATTTTCTCTATACATTCTTCCCTTCCTTTCCTCATGTTGTCCTGAAGCATCAAGTAGTACCATGCCTAGTGGCATGATGTTGAGAAGATGGATTTACATCTTGTTCCAAAGTAATTGCTTTACTGTAACCCTTTGGGAAGACTTGATAAACAGGCTTGTGCTGAAGGTTTGATTCTATGTTAGGTTGAAAAGGAGCTTTCCCGCTTGACCTGACTGGTTGACAGTCTGGGGCAAGCTTGCTGGCTTGACTCACTGGCTTAGGTCGTCTAGCAGTATTTGTGTGGAAGGTCACTTGTTGGCAGTGTCCCTGATCTCTTCTTGTGGCTGGCTCTCATCCAGACTGCACAGGATGACCTGTCAGCACAGATAGGTAGGCTCTCTGGCTTTTGGGAAATCATAGTATTGAATGCCATGCTGTAGCATGCTGGGGTTGAATAGGAAGGCTGTTCAAATCCAGCTGTTCACAGGTTCAGCCAAGGTTACTTGAGCTGGTCTTGTCACCTTCACATTGCTGTTGTGAGCATGCAAAGGGATAATGCCCATCTGTGCCAGCCTGGAGATCCTTGGAAAGATGCAAATGTGTCCATAGTATATGGTCTGCTGAGCTAGTAGGTAAACACTGTGTGCCCCTTTTCAAACTGCCTTTGTATTCTGTTTTAGTAACTGGTTGCTAATGGATCTTTTATGTCATTTCTTACAGACCCATTTTAGTAACGGCCTGCTAGCAGAATTTATGTACCTGTTCATACAAACCCACTCGCATCATGTTACCAAAGTGAGGTTGAGCCGCTTTAGAGGGAAACTGCTTTCTTCCATTTTCAACATCTTTGTTTTGCTCCTGAATCTCTATGGTGTGCTGTCCATAGTGCTTCCTACGATGCCGCTTTTTTCCCTGCACGATTTTCCACAGACTTTTTTTTAATGTTCTAGGTTAAGCGCTATAGTGCTAAACCTATAGCAGCACTATTGAGATGCACTGATTCCATTGAGTCAATGGAGTCAAGGCATCTCAATGGTGCTGCTATAGCACTGAAGTCCTATGTTGGTTTAATGCTATAGCACTCAATTTAGAATGTTAATTTTTTTTTAAAAACACACCACAGAATATTATACAGCAAAAAGGGTGTGTATGTGGGGGAAAGCAGTACTGTTTGAAATGACCACAGTGCTTTCGAGGTGGCTCATTTATGGAAGGAAATTCGCTGTATGAAAATCCCATCCCTGTATTACTTTACTTGAAATCAGGCCAACAATGAATAACATCCGGTTTAGAAAAGGGCCTATGTATGTTACATAAAAGGGCCAGGCATAAAGTGAAAGGAAGGGGACAGAGAAATAGAGAAGCTTGGCCTCCTTCCAGCCTGCACCCCATCTCAAAGGTGGCAGTCAGTGGGCCTAGGTTTAAAGACCCCTCTCTGTCACTGGTGCTGTGCAATGCCAGGTCCATAAATAATAAGACCTCAGTTCTTAGGGACTTTTTGCAGGCACAAAATGCAGGCTTGGCTTGCATGACGGAGACCTGGGTATGAGACAGCGAGACCGTAGCACTCTCCCAAGTGGTTCCTCCTGGATTCTCCATCCTCCACCAGTTGCGGACTATGGGGCGGGGGGGGGGGGGGGGGGGTGGCTGTGTTCATCCGGGAGGCTTACTCCTTCAGGGTGCTCCCGCCATTGAGGCTCACAGGCATAGAGTGTGCCGGCTTTGTGTGGGAAGTTGGGGAGAGTTTGGCTATCTGGTTAGTGTACCGTCCGCCCAACACACCAACCGATAGCCTGTCATCCCTGGTAGAGGCCGTGTCGGGCTGGGCATTGGAGCACTCTGGACTGATAGTCCTGGGTGACTTCAGTGTCCATGCTGATGATGCGGCCTCTTCTCAGGTGGTGGACCTGGTGTTGTCCATGGCTGCATTAGGACTCTCCCAATATGTTACAGCCCCCACTCACCGAGCCGATCACATGCTTGAACTGATCTTTGCGATGGAGGTTACAGTGGACCAGATTACTACTATGGCAGTACCATGGTCGAACCACCATGCCCTGAAGGCCCGCGTGAACGTTGCACCCCGACCCTGTTTGAACGGTGAGCGTATTTTAGCTCGCCCGCGGAGCCAAATGGACCCTTAGCAGCTTCAGATGGCCCTGCGGGAACCTATGCCCCCTGACGGCTCACTAGATGAGCTAGTCAAGGATTGGCATGTCCCACTCTCGGCAGCCATCGACAAAATCACTCCCCAACACCCTCTGCACCCTCGCTCTAAGCAGGCTCCTTGGTTTACCCAGGAGCTGCGGCTGATGAAACGAGGGCTCCGACGACTAGAGAGATGGTGATGGCGTGCCCACAATGAAGTAACAAGAGCATCTTATAGGATGTTTATGAAAGCCTATGAGATGGCGGTCAAGGCCGCAAAGAGAGAGTGCTACACGGCCACGGTTGCGTCTGCTAGCTCATGCCCGGCACAATTGTTTAGAATTATTTGGTCATTAACAGATCTGCCACAGGGCAGACCAAATGTTAGGGAACTGGATATTGGCTGCGAGGCTTTTGTGAGCTATTTTGCAGATAAAGTCTTGTCCCTGGTCCATCACCTCATGGACGCTGGGATTCAGGGGCGTGCCTTGCAATGGTGCGTCTCCTTTCTCCAAGGTCGGGGACAGAGAGTGGCGCTAGGGGAGCAGACGTCCCAGAGGTACCCACTGGTCTGCGGGGTTCCCCAAGGGGCAGTGCTGTTCCCAATGTTATTTAACATCTATATGCGCCCTCTCGCCCAGATTGCCCGGAGGTATAGGCTAGGGTGTAACCAATACGCAGATGACACCCAGCTATATCTGTTGTTGGGTGGCCAGTCCGGCTCGACCCCAGATGACCTGGATCGGGCACTTCAGGACATGGTGGGCGGTCTTAGACTGAGCTGATTGAAATTAAATCTGACAAAGACAGAGGTCCTGTGCCTGAGTCAGAGCAGGTTAGGGGTAGGGATCCCACTACCGACCTTCAATGGGGTGCCATTGGTGCCAGCACCGAGGGTCAGGAGTTTGGGAATGCTCCTGGATGCCGCCTTAACAATGGAGGCCAGGTAGCAGCCACTGCCAAGGCAGCCTTTTATCATCTACACCTCATTAGTCAGTTGGTTCCCTTCCTCGAATGCAATGACCTGGCAACTGCTATCCATACTATGGTCACCTCGAGATTGGACTACTGCAATGCTCTCTACATGGGGCTGCGCTTGTCCCAAATCCAGAAGCTGCAGCTAGTGCAGAATGCGGCAGCCAGGCTGTTGATGGGTCTCTCCATTCGAGAGCACATCCGGCTTGGCTGCCAATAGCATACTGGATTTGCTTCAAGGTGCTGGTTTTGACCTTTAAAGCCCTATATGGCCGGGGGCCGCCTTTCCCCACATGCTCCCTCAGAGAGCACTGAGGTCGGGGACCCAAAACCGCCTGACTTTCCCCGGTCTAAAAGATGCCACATTGGCCACCACCAAATCTAGGGCCTTCTCAGTGGTGGCTCCACACTGGTGGAACGAGCTCCCTGAGGACCTGTAAAATGGAGCTCTTCCACCAGAAGAAGAAGGATTGGATTTATACCCCGCCCTTCACTACCCAAAGGTGTCTCAGAGCGGCTTACAAACTCCTTTCCCTTCCTCTCCCCACAACAGACACCCTGTGAGGTAGGTGGGGCTGAGAGAGCTCTTGACAGAAACTGCTCTTTTTTCAAGAACAGCTCTTATCAGAACTACGGCTTGCCCAAGGTCATCCAGCCAGGTGCAAGTGGAGGAGTGGGGAATCAAACCCAGTTCTCCCAGATTAGAGTCTGCGCACTTAACCACTACACCAAACTGGATCTCAAACCAGGCCTTTGATTAGGAGCCGCCACCGATGAACAAGCTATTGACAACATCTATTACGGCCCGCATGTTACTGACTCTTTACTTGGATACTGGTCTAGTCATACTGGACCATCTTACAACAATTGCCATCTGCACTTTACCATTTGTACTTAATCTGAACTTTATATATTATTGTTGGAATTTTATCGGTGTTTTATTGTAATTTTATCTCACTGTAAGCTGCCTTGAGCCTGCTTGCCAGGCAAGGTGGGATATAAGTCGAAATAAATAAATACATAATAGGAATACACAACCATACCATTTTCAATATTTGATTATACATTTAAAAGTTTGCTTTAAAAAAGATGAAAAAAGTTTGCTAAGCGACTCTTATTATGTAATGGTTATTAAAATGACACCATCTTTTGCTGCTTGCTGTCTGTTGTGGCAGATGAGCTCACAGTTTGAAGCTTGATACGTTTAAAGGATATAGCACCAAAAAGAAAGCAGGGTCCGCTCCAGGTTTTAAGCAAGCAAGATCACTTCTTGTGTTCCCCTTCCCCAACTAAATGCACCATTGTTGCCTCAGTGACTTGATCGGTGCCTGCTTTATTCAGATAGGCAGCTTGTTGGTGCTGCCCCTGCCACTCAGCCAGTAAGTGAGTGAGAAAGGCTTCTAGGTGGAGCAGCAGGAGTGGCCGTACCTCCACCTAGGTGCTAGCTCCTTTTTCCTGTGTGTGGGCAATCAGTGACAGCAAAGAGCCTCTTCTTCTGGATGGTGGATGAACATTTGTTGCCCCCCCCCCCCATCCAGGGCAACTTCTTTATCTGAGGGGTGGAACTGTTGCTCCCAATTTCAGTAGCAGCAAGAATGAGCAAGCACTGATGGCCCCCTAGGTTCAGCAGCAGCCCTCCCAAAAAGTAGGGGGTAAGTAGCAGTGCTCCCTGCTCATAGCAACATTTGTTGCATGCTCACTTGTCTGGGTGAGCAAGTCAGTGATTGGCAGCAGCAGCAGCCTGCTTCTAACCTGAGGGAGAAGGGAGGTAACCAGTTGCTTGCTTTCTTCCTTGTTTGAGCTACAGGGCCAAGGACAATGTGTGCTCCTAGCAGAGCCAATCCTTCCACTGCTGTACAGCAAAAAGGGGCAGATACCCATTTGTTATAGTGGTGCCACAGGGGGCCAATAGGTTGGCAGGGCCTCTTGGGATTTGGTGGTTGCCTGCCAGTGCTAACCCCAGTTATCAGTAGGGGTGTCTGTGGCATTTTGCAGCCCCTGGACCAGTTCAGCTGGAGGGAAGATCTGTTTGTTTTGTAACTATTGCATGCTGTTCCTGCCCTGTAATGAGTTTATGGCTGAGATCTGTGTTGGGGATCCCTAGCTCATTGCTCATATTCTTAGCCAGCATGGTATTCCAACAGATTTGAAAGGTGGATTACAATTCCTATTCCTTAATCTAGTGGAGATAAACCAGGCTCAACTCCGCTGGTTGGGCCCCGAATGCTGGGCAAATTTACTTCATATTTTGAAGGTTTTAATTTTTTTTAAGGCTGCCTTCAGGCTCCTGGGTTTCCAGCTGGGCATTGTAGCGGCATGAAGTGTCCTGCAAATCCTTTCTTAGTTTCTTTAGAAACAAAGAAAGAAATTAGTCCCAGAGAAGAGGGTTCTTTTAATGGTTTGCATCGCCTGGTGCAAATATATGCTATTTTGAAGTTCCGCTTGATGAGGGTTATCTGTCTGCTTCAACATAATTGGCTCTTATTAGGAGAATGGCAAAGGAGGGAGAGGGAATGATGCCCCTTCCGTTTCCTTTTCAGAATGAGGGGGAGGCACTTTATAGCGGCATTTTAACATAATTATGCCATGAAAACTCGAGCAGAGTGTAAGTGGCAAGTCCCTGTATATTGCAAGTTTGGGTTTTAGGAAGTAAATGCCTATATGATACGAAGATGTGACAGCAAAACATCTAGTGAAATAAGTTTTTAATCAACAAACATGGCTTAAAAGGCCCCCCCCCCAAAGATTGTTAAATATCTATAGCTACATTGATTTTAGTTCCCCTCATGAAACCAGCTGTCTTTGGCATGTGTGGTAATTTTCTGCCCTGTTGTTTACTGCCCTACTGTTTTGCTGAGCCAAACCAGTCTATTTAGTTTTGTTTTAGCTTTTGTTATTATGGAAAAAGGCCTTAGTTTTTTATGCAGTTCTTCAAAATTTAGTCTTTTTTGTTCAAGCCCTCTAAAGTAATAACTGCTCAGACTGTGAGCTGTGCAAAAACCTCAAAGGGCTGATCTTGCTTTAAAATCCCCAGGGAATTGTTTGGTACCTGGACTAGTTCAAGGAAGCCCCCAAACCCCTGGGAGTAAGAGAGCTATGCAGTCCCTGAGCTTGCATGACCAGTATTGGGGAATCAGCTGCACTAAAACTAAGGCAACATCCTTTGAAAGGCCTCCCCCTCAAGCCATGCGACTGCAGGGAAGGGTGGGCTATGATCATCATCCCCAAGATTCTTCCTGAAAACATGGCATTCTCTGATGTCTTGGAGGAGGTAGAGATCTCCACGTGGGTGCAGGCCCTTTTCCTAACCCAAAGGACTAAAATTGAGACACTGAATTGGAAATGAAGAACATTATCCAACTCTGCCTTGACCTCAGTGAGAGTCCTTTCGCACTGTGAAAACTTGGCTGTAGATTGGGGCTGCATGTTCTGACCTACCACTTAACCTTGCCAGTTTAAGCTGCAGCTGCTTTGTCTTAGAATGTGAGGGGTGTTGTTTTGCTGTATGTAGACTTGTGACTGTGACAGGAAAAAGACATGTTCTTGCTTGTTAGCAATTTTAAAGGGAAGTTGAACATTCCTGAATTTTCTTTTCCAGTGTGACCTTTCTCCATGGGCTGTGACCAGAGAAGAAATTGATCACTTCAGTAAAGAGAATGCTTTTACTGGCTGGACTGAAACATCTGTCAAGGAAAACAAAAATGTAAATGAATCTATGAGGTAGGAAAACGGGATTTGAAAGAATATTCTTTCGGCCACTGAGAAGTCCCTACTGACATGTAACAAAGCCTGTACCTATTTGTCAGGGGATATTTTAACTCTAATGTGATGATGGCCTGGGGTTAGAGTAAGACTAATAATTACAGCATCAGAGTGATGCTTTGTAGTGAGATGGCTGCCTCTGAGGTAATGACCATGGTTTAGGATGTAACAGTGGCTCTAGAAATTTGAGCTACGAAGAGTAGTGACTGTAGATGAAGTCTGGAACAAACTTACATCCCTTGTAGTTCAGAGAATGCGAGTGTAATTTTGTTCAGTTTGTTCAGTTTACTCTGGGGGCCATGTTAGCTTTGTGAGAACAGCTGTCTTTAAATTTTTATTTGGGACTTGGTATGAGGAGCACATTTCAGTATAGCTGGAGCAGATGACCTCTCAGATCCTTGCTGCTTAAACATTAGTCAGTAAAGTGATTTAGTAGGCCACACTAGGCATTTAAAGCAAAAGCCAGCCATTGAGCACATGTGGAAAATTAATGAGAGACATAAAAGAAACTGGTTAGTAGCAGGGAGGATTGAGAAGGTGAAGCTGCAGAGCCGATGGCAATTTTCAGGGAATAAACTACCTCTACTACCAAGATGCTCCTAGTTTTAAACTTCTGGTTGAAAAAGTGCAGCATAAATGGTGCTGGAGCTCCATAATTATACAGTTAGAGGTCTGAAGATACTCCCCTCCATTTTGGAGAGGCTAAAGTGTCTTTGTTGGTATCAAATGAATGCTTGCAATTCTTATACTGTAACTGAAATCTGTTGCTTCCTAGAGTCCTTATTGAGAAGATGATGACTATGTCATTGAATGATGGAGAGTCCTCTGTTCCAGGCCATGGAGACTACATTAACCTGAAGGATGCAACCACACCCAACTGGGGATGCTGCTAGCTACACACTCAGCAGCAACAGATCAGGAGACAAAAACAGCAACAGATCAGGAGACAATGGTGTCTTTCAGACACATATTGACTTGCTAAGAGTGGTAGTGCATAATTTCCTGGCATTGCTGCGAACCAACAGCAGGGAAGAGAGTTGTTCAATCTAGCAGGGTGATGGAAACCACTTTTTTAAATGCTGGGAGCCACACAGTGTTGACTTTACCATTCTTCACTAAAGCTTGGATTGTCTCTGGAATGAAGAATCCTATTCACTGTAACCCACTGCAGGTCAGGGAAAGTCTCCACCTTACTTGAACAAAGGTATAGGAAAAGTGGCAATAGAACCTTAAATAGCTAGGAAAGGGAAGCCAAAGCAACCTGGTTGTGCCTGTCTCATGTGTATGGCTCTGTCTGTCTTTGCTCTCCCTTTGGAACAGATTGCCTTTAATGTCTCATCTGTGGAAACATGCTTTGGACTGTAATTATCCTTTTTTCTGGCAGAGCTGCAGAATGGTCTTACAGCAACTCTTGTTGTGGTGAAGTGCTTGTCTTGAGAAGCTCATTGCTGCTTTTGTGTAATTTGGAAAACAACAGCATTTAAGTAGAAGAAAAATTACAATGAACTCGGTGGCCTTTTTTGTCCCTGTTTTTATGTGGGACACACAATTGTTAAAGTCCTTTTGTGACCTGACGTCATTTTATTAGAGCAGCTAGCAATGAATTGAGGCAGAAGCTGTTAATGGTTTTGCATTGATGCCTTATTAGTGTACCAGCAATATTCTTTGTTTTTATTGTCCTTTCCCTTCTAGGATCTCACTTGCCTTTTCAGATTCTGATGAATTACTTCCCCCTGGCTATCCTATTGTGGTGGGTATAAACAGCTACAGCTGTCTGAAAGCCCACCGACTGGTTTTTGTGATCCGAGGAGACAAACACAGATGGGTTGCAGCAGGACAAAAAATGAGAGTTAAATTTTCACCATGCCTTTTTGGTACCTGATAATTCCCTTACCTTTTAAAATAATTAATTATAGGTGATATTTATTGTATACAATTATAACTTTAAAGATTTTTATTGGCCAATTTAATAATTTGGGAAGGCTGAAGTTAAAAAAAGTTAAGGTGTATTGAAATGTGTGTGAGTGAATGTTTAGTCTTCCTTTAAGAACAGATAAGAGGGAACATGTTTATTCATCCACTGCATATTTTTATCAATTTGTATCCAGAGTTTGGATAATTAATGAACTATATTGACTGTTGAAAAGCTGGTATGTCTAGGCCTTAACACATTTTTCTGGTGTTATTTGCACATTGTCTCTCATAAAATATTTCAGCAAAGATTAGACCCTCGGTCCTAGTTGAGTAGTATGCCAGGTATAATTGGAAGATACATTTTCAACCCTGGGATTGTCACAGCATCCTCCTCCATTGCAGAGTGTGTTCTTCTGGTGCTAGGCACTTTTAGCCAGCATCTTGCTCCTAGCAGGAAGTGCCAGTGGAATGTGTTGTGCAATGGAGCACTGCTCCACAATGGAGGACAGCAGTTCAGAAATAGAAGAATGGGCCCTGAAGCATAATCATTTTCTGAATGTTCTGGTTAAAGTGCTCTTTATTAGTCTGTTGGACTTAACCTGTAATGCCCATTGTGTAAAGACTATTTTGTAGCTAAAGGTTATTAAAAAGCTGCAGCTAAATCAAGGATTAGATAACTGTGTGTACACTGGAAGGGGAACTTGGATCTTGGTATGGTGCCAAGAGGCAATGGGGTTGGATTGAGACTGACATTTCCATGGGCACAACAGTTTCTGCCCACGGTGTGCAGTTTTCCTGCCCCTCCCCCAAAGCAGCTCAAAATGCCCTAAAAATCCTGTTCTTGGGGTCCCTCACCCCTAAGAAAAGAGCTTGGGGGGAGTGTCATAGGAGGCTCTGGGATGCTGGAGGGAGCAAGATAAATAAATAAGATCACACACTGTGGGTGAAAATCTTTTTGTCTGCAGAAATGTTAGTTTGGATCCAAGCCAACTACTGTTGCCACCTGGTACTTTTTGATTTTTAAATGTTGTCAGAGCTGTCAGTAGGTTGCTGGGTTGGATCTGCAAAATGTTGTAGAAGCTGTGAGAGGAAGTAGATTAAGCAGAATTTAACATAAAGGAAAAGTTTCATTGTGGGGGAAAATAGGGTATTTTTTGTATAGTTAGGAGTGACGGATGGATGAATAAATTACTCTGGCAAGTAACTAGCACAGATGTCCTGTGAACAACTTACCCAGTTTTGTTTCAGTCAGCATCTCTGACATCACTGATCCATACTGAAGGAACAAAAAATGATTGGCTAGATTGCTAACAGTCTAAGCTGCCTTTTTAATTGCCTATAGTAACACATTTAGGGAAAACACTATAAAAAGACGTTTGATGTGGTATTATAATACTGAGGGAGCAGTTCAAGTCACCACAGCATAGGTTATCTAGACTTGGTACCTGGGAATGTGTTCACAGAATTTGGCACCTGATAATATGCCTTTTATATCGGATCCTCTTTTGTAACTGTTGGATGGCTAATGAGTGAGCTTCAAACAACAACAACCACTACCAGCTCAAATCACCATCATGTGAAGCCTACTGTCTTGGCTTGCGAAAACTGAATAGGATAGATGACTAGAAGAATAGCTGGTTCCAAGGAGCTTTTTTTAAAAAAGGGCCCATTGAGATGAAACACAAGCCCAAAACCTCAGAATTTTCTGACTTGAAAACAATACTTTTTAAAAATGAGTGGTGTTCATTGTCTAAATCTAGTATCAGTCAATGTTCTGTTTTACAAAACAGTTTCTGCCGCTGCACTCTTCATATCTGGAGAGTTCTTAAATACATGTTTCTAAAAAGTGTACCTGCATACACACAGAACAGTTTACAAGTTATGCTACACTGCCTCTGATGTAAAACTTTTATTCCATTTTCCTATGTTTTGTAAGTAAATTGAAAACAATTACAGAAATGGGATCAAGGTGCAGCTGCTGTTTTCTTCTCCATTAGGGAGATCTGCATTTCTCCTTGGAAATTGTTTTAAACTTTCCATTAGCTTGCAAGAAAAGGGTGCCTGGTGTCCAATAAAGTAGGGTTTGTAAAGAGACTATTCTGAGCTCAGCAATTTATTGTGCTTTATGTATGTTTAATTGAACAACAGAGTTATAACAAAACAGTTTCTTTTGGAATCTGAACTTTCTCCTGCTCTCTCAAATTGTTTGTAAGCCAGATATGGCAGGGTTTAGGTTATGTCCTCATGGTATCCTCCTGACCACGTGGTTTGGTGCTGTAGGTCTAAAAAGGAAATGCAACAGACATCCCCCCCCCCTCGCATTTCACGGTATAGGATTTCCACAATTACATCTTTGATTCTTTCAGCACATGATACTCTTGCATGTCTATTGCAGCAGTTAGTGGGATCACATTGAGTGAAGTGTAGGCAATACGTATTTTAGAGATCTTGAATGGGGCAAATATCCAATTGATAAAAATTGGTATTTAATATGTAGCTCTTCAGTTAAATGTGCTTTACATTGTGTAGTAATGAAACTTAAACAACTAGAATCTTTACTGAGTGGCTCTTATTGATTGAAAACTTCCACTAAGTAACTGGTGGTATGCAGCGCCTCTTCTCATATTAATATAGTATTTTGAAGGTGAAAGTATTTGTTTTTATGTCTCAGTGACAACAGTGCTTTTAGCTACATCAATCAACAACCAGTGCAGTATTGGAAAAACTGAATTTAATCTGAAATAAAATGTATGACATTGCTTGTTCAACTACTGTTAGTTTCTTGTTTCATTCATCCTAACAGCAACTAGGTTTAAGAGTTGGATTTTTGTTTTTTAAAATAGTGATTTGCCCTCCTAGTAACTTGTGCTGCAATCATAAGACTACTTTACCTGCTTAGAATTGCTCCCTTAGAGTAGATTCAAGTGGGTAGCCATGTTGGTCTGAAGCAGCAGAACAAAGTTTGAGTCAAGCAGCACCTTTAAGACCAACAAAGTTTAATTTTGGGTACAAACTTTTGTGTGCGTGCACACTTCTTCAGATAACTTCCCTTACAGAGTACTCTGAGTGATTGCAACTGTTTTCAGTAGCTCATTCCATGTAATAAGAGACACCGATCTATACTTCCACATGTGTAGCTAAAGCATATTTGCATCCCTGTTTCTACTGTAATATCTATCTGTGTGTCACTGAACTGGCTAAAAGTACTCTTTGAACCCACCGATTGGTGCATGTTGTAAATTAAGAGTGGCTCGTTTTAGGACCATCATTCCTATCCATACGGTGCTTCAGTTGAACTTTCTACACTAGAATGCTACCCTAAACATCAGCACACCACTAAATATCTATGGGATTCCACAGCAATAATTCCCAAAGAGTGAACTGAGGCTCACTGGAGGGTTATAGAAGTCTTGTCATGCCTGGATAAATACACAGTAAAGGCTTAGATGGCTGTAGATAAAGCTCGCAGGATAGGGTGGGATATAAAAGCAATCAATTAATATGTTCAAAACAGCAATTGGCTCTTCGCCTGTAACCGTTGTTCAAATATGATACAGAATTCTGGGGAATGGTGTGGATTACCTACGGATGGGTGCTAAGTATAGTCACAGGCAGCTCAAGTGGACTGTCCTGTGTCTTCCTGTATTGGTTGTGTCAGCCAGATTTAGCTAGTTAACTGGTTCCAGTGCCACAAAGAAAAGCCTCTGCTGAAATCTATCCTGTCCTCTTTGCCATGGTTTCAAAGTGATTTGCTGTACCACCAGTACGGATACAGAGTGTATGCAGACATAATAGAGGCCAGTTATCACTCATGACATTCTGGCACAAATGTGGGTGTTGTATTTTTTGACAATGCAATTTGTATCTGTTTTTTTGGTAAAGATAAAAAAGCTGCTGTGATTTATAAGACAGATAGCCATTTAGGACTTTTGTGGATGCAGTCATGAGCAATCAAATATGTCAACTTTTATGAGTTGCAAGTCTGAAAGATACTTCAGTATCCTCTTGTGTTCCAACTAGAACAATTTTATTGCAGCTGAAGAATACATAACTCAGTACTCACAGAACACTGCCCTAGAGGAACCAAGTGTTGCTTTTGGTCCTATGATGATTACTGTCAATCTGCAATTAAATAGGCAATTGAAATGCCAATTAAAGACCTGTATAACCCACCAAGCCCTTTCAATGAGAGTTTTTTTCCCTTAGGGATCATGTAAACAATCTTGAAGAATTGTCAGCTTCAACAAATGGTATTGTAGGTGTTGGTAATGCTAGTGTACCTTATGAACTTTTTTTTTTTAAGACGCAGCTAGAATGCTTATTGCTTAATGTTGAAAGAGTGCTAAGGGGATTTCCTTGGATATGTGGTGTGCTAAATTAATATAGCAGCACCTGAAAAACTAACAAACAATATTATATTAATTCAGGGGAGAAAAAAGAAAGATGAAGATAATGGAACAGTTTTATAATTAATTTAAGGGAATTTCCAGACAAGAGTTTGAAGAGTTTGTTAAGCGCCTTCTTTAATGGATGGAGAGCCTTACCTGAAAATTTGAATGAGGCACTGAATACTTGTATTAGAGGATACATATCACAGAAACAGAATAAATGATAAATATGTAAAGTCTCAGCCAGCTTGGATAGAAGCACCCCCCCCTTCTTTCTTTTATTCTTCGTCTCTTACTCATTTATATGTTTTCTTTTGGGGGGTTTTCTGGTTGGAACATCACCATAACAAGACAGATTTTATATTGGATAAGAGGTTTTTCATGATCTTGTTTTGTTGTTGGCTTTTGCGTGTGTATATAATTCAAGAAAATTAAATATATTTTAAAAGATAAGACTAGTGTACAAAAATTGTGAGGACTGAATAGATAGGGGGGATACTGAAACAGCAAAACTCTACAGCAGCATCTAATATTTACAATAAACCCAAAGTAGATGAGCATTGGGCAAGGGGACAACAAAATGGCCAGTGAGACTGAGTATTCCTAATTGGGCATATGATGCCCACTGTGGGATAATTGGCACATGGAATCAGTATGTAGGCACCCAGTGACACTAATGAATGCCATGGGTTTGTTTTCATTTATTTGATTTATTTAATTTAGTAATCTTCGTAGCAGACCCATAGCCAGAAAAATTTTGGTGGGAGGCACTGAGGAGGCATGATGTCACAAAAATAATAAAATACAAATAAATAAATAAAAGGGCGCTAGAAGAGCTGTAGAAAGGGCCCCCTCCCCCACAAACCAGTTACCTATGGTCTCCTCCATGTTCAGAGCAGGCAGCAAGAACCACGGCAGTGCTCCCAGAGAAAAGCTGCCACTGGGGTCACAGTGCCCCCCCCACGCCATGGAGATAGAAAAAGAGTCCCGCTCGACCAGACCAACAGCTGGGCTGGCTCGACCAGGCTACCATCTACCTGGTGAGCTGAGCTGAGGAAAGGAAGCTGAGGCAAAAACCAGTCATGGTGGCACTCAGGTGGGCAGCCAAGAGAGAATGGCCCACCTGCGTAGCCTTCCACCCACTACATGTTCCGCTTTGGAGAGCCAGATGGATACCAGCAAATCCCCCTTTAAAGATATTTATTCCTGTAGCCATCACTACATCCTCTGGCAGCATAATCACTGTCTGTGTAAAGTAGTATTTCCTTTTGTCTATCCTGAACCTACTGCCCATCAGTTTCATTGGATGCCCTCAAATTCTAGTTACTGATAAATCAAATATGTGAAACATTAACAAAGTGGGTTCCTAATTTTGTGGGCTTGTAGAGTGATGTTTTTGTGTGACTGCCAAGTAGATTGTACAGACTGGTTGTGGTCCATGCTACTTGCTAGACAAAGAATGCGCAGGAATAAGGAATGCGTTTGATTGATAGGTGGTGACAAGGCCATGAAGGGTTTTCCACTGAGAAAGAACAGGAAGCCAGCTGGAATTTAAGGTGGAATGTTTCATGGTCTGAATGACAAAAGATATTACTTAGAGGTAAGGGAATGAGGTGTGATCACAGAAAACAGAGACTACCATGCCCCATGCTCTTCCTTGTAGGCTGTGCCCAGGCCAGAAGGGTGGAAGTAAATGCCACTATGCTTCTCCTTGGTGGTTACACCATGTTCAGGCTAGCAGGCTGAAGTTGATCAGGAATGTGTTTGTGCAGTTCCTCACTGACTGTATTGGGCTCAGGTTTACACAGGGTAAAACTGGGTGCAGCTGTGCTCCTTCCTATCGACCCCTTGGTAGGAGTGGATGAGACTCAGGGCAGCAGACCACCCAGTAAAGTTAATTGCCAATCAGCCCTGAACAAAGTTGGAAACAGCAGGATTAAAATGAAAACAAACAAGACTGAAACCCTTCTTGCCAATGATGTTAACATATATGTATGTTGATGGTGAACACATCCACAGTATACCACTTTCAACACATCTTAAAGTGGCAGTATGATTTTTGCAAGATGCATTCAAGGAGACTGTTGCAAATTTAGAGTAAACTGTACTATAAAGCTGCAGTTGGAAAGTGCTGTCAAGTTGCAGCTGAGTTACAGCAACCCCATAGGATTTTCAAGGCAAGAGACCTTCACCAGAGCCGCTCAGCTTCCCAACCACAGATCTCTCTTGTCACCTGATGTACTAAAACAAATGACAGGAATGAAAAAAAAGGGGAGGGGGAGGGGGGGGAGGTTGCCAGCTCCATGTTAGGAAGCTCCTGGAGATTTGGGGATGGAGCCTGGGTAGGACAGGGACCTCGCTGGGGTACAATGCCATACAGCCCATCCTCCAAAGCATCCATTTTCTCCAGGGAATCTTATCTCTGTAGTCTGGAGATGAGCTGTAAGTCCAGGGGATTCCTAGCTCCCTCTTGGAGGCTGGCATCTCTAGAATTTGTATGGGCTGCATTGAAATTACCGCACACAAAAGTTGCAATGAAAACGCAGGATGGATTTGAAGAAACCTGCTCTGGGCCTGGCAGCCCCCAGAGTGAAAAGAAGTTCCCTGGGACTGGAATCAGTGCTCTGGACCGGAATGACAGGAGGAGTGGAGTTCTGTGAGGCAGCGGTAGGGAAGGAGTGTGCGAGGAAGCTCAAGTTAGCAACGAATGGGAGCAGTGGGTCGAGGGGGGGGGGACCGCTGCCAGGTTTTTGCGAGAAAAGGAAGAGCTGTTTCGCCTAAGACTTCGCAGAAGCTCGCTAGCAAATCTAGGACTTCCCAAACGACAGACGCACAAGCATGAAATATCGCGATAGGTGTCATAGACGCGTGGGGTGGGGTTGAACCTGATTCTCTTTTCCCTCCAAAAACCTAGCCTGGACGTTGTTGTCGAATCTGCTGTTTAGAGGGGAGATTATTATTTTTTCTAAAACCAACAGCAAAATTCTCGGCTAACTCTCTCGGGCAAAAAAACGACCCGTTACTGAGTGGTAGAATGGAAATACTAAACCAAACAAGCAAGCCTCTAGCGAATCTGTCATTATAAAATCTTGTCCGTTTTTTCTGGCTGTTGTTGGCTGTCCCCTCTCATAGTAGCTTTAGCGAGGGGCTCTCCTCCATCTCCTCCACTCCTCCCGCTCGCAGGAAAAGAGGCGGGGCATCGCTTCCGTGATGGTTCGAACAAGCCAATGGGCAATGGCAATGTCGCGAGCTAGCCACTGAGAAAAAGGGGTAGGAGATGCCAGCTGAGTAGGTTGTACCGCCCTCTCAGCACGGCGCATCCCTTCTGCTGGACGAAGTGCGACCATTTTGCAGGGGGGAGCGGCGAGTGGTGGCGATTGACGGTGTAAGGAGGCCAGGTCTGTTGCGCGGGGCGGCCGCCTGAGTCGCTGGGCCCGGGGACCAACGGCCCCGCGGGAAGTCGAGCGAGGCCTCCTCGGACTCACCTCGCCTATTTCGTCTCCTTAGTTGATAGCGCCCGCCTCGATTTAATCGGCCAAGATGTCCAGGCCCGTCAGGTGAGCCTTTCGGAAATGGAGAAGGGCCTCGGGGCACCCACGTCTTTTCCGAAGAGGAGCCAACGAACCGGGGCCTGTCCCATGCGGGGAAGAAAGGGGAGGCCAGAAGCGGGACATGGCGGGAGATGAGAGGGGAGGGGCGTGTGTAGGTATGCAGCATGCTTCTTGGAGGAGGAGGAGGAGGAAAAGGGGGGCAATTCACGCCGCCGCCGCCCTGCGGGTTCTTTTCAACAGGGTGCAGTGCTGCCCCTGAAGGTTAGCACAGACAAAGATCCACGTTTGTATGAGGGAAGGAGGAGGAAAGGTCTGTGAGGGTTTCACTGCGCGTATGTCGACTGTAGGGAGAGAAGGAAGGCATGCCACATGCGCATCGTGCGGATGAGTCGTGTGCATTTATTGTTCCAGAGAAATGGGGGAATGTATTGTTAGCTTGGACCCGTGTTTGGAGTTATGTCGTCGAGAGGCGATATGTATTTAATTGGGACTTTTCGTACGGAGTTGCTGTATATCACCGTAGGGAGGTGCTTGCTTGCGAGAAGGAAGAGTTCGTAGCAGAAGAGTGCGCCCTGGTGGGAAGGAGCGCATGTGCATTTACAATGCACGTTGTGAGGGAACTGCGCTTTTTGCAGCGGTGTGGAATTAATCGGAGTTCCATGCATAAAGGTGGGGTGTCTCGCGTTGTTGCGATCTCATTGGGTGGTAGGAAGCGATCAGAGAATCCAGAAAGCAAACAGGGTTCACTTAGCCGTGGCTTATTTCTGGGGGAATAAGGGATACCTAAAGAATATTGACCGTCCCGTTCTAGTCTTGGGTGACATCTTTGATCACTTGCTCCACTTTTCCACTGTTCTGTAAGTTTGTGGCTGAGGGCCAGATGAACAAGACAGTGACCTGTAATGATCTGATCTTTTTCAATTACATTGCCACTTAAGTTTGTATCCTTATGTGGCCCTGGATTCAGTCAGCAAAGAGTATAGAGTTGTGATACTGTACATTCTGGTTATTTCTTACTTGCATCCAAGTATGTGGTATCACATTTATATTTCTTCCTCCAGGGAATTAAGTGATTTATTTTATTTATTTACATTATTTCAGTGTGCCTTTCTGGCTTGGACTCAAGGCAGATTACACACAGTCAATAGAACTAATAGGATAGGGTGGGCATTTAATAAACAGTACAATAGAGTCTGAGTTGTAGTACCCATTAGAAATCTAAAAACAGAACTGAAGCAAAGCATAAGTATTAACCCAGGTGGGCAGATGTGTTGGTCTGAAGCAGTAGAACAAAGTTTGAGTTCAATGGCACCTTTAAGACCAACAAAGTTTTATTCAAGGTATGAGCTTTCGTATGCACATGTGTGTGAGGAAGTGTGTGTGCACATGGAAGCTCATACCTTGAATAAAACTTCATTGGGTTTAAAGGTGCCACTGAACTCAAACTTCGTTCATAAGTACACATTACACATTAAATGATATAAGATTACATAGTAGTTTTAGCAAGCTAAACATAGGAGGAGAGGCAGTCTCGCAAATACGAGGGTCCAAGGTCTTGAAGGGCTTTGTATGTGATAGGCAGTACCTTAATCAGAGCCCAGTAATTGATGGGCAGCCAGTGGAGTGACTGTTGCATGGGAGTGCTATGTGTGGCTCCGCCTTGTTCCTGATTTTTTTTAACCATAATATTTTATTCGATTTTAATTCAGAACATAACAAATAAATACAGGTTCTCAAACAACATAATAGCCAAGCTGTGGCTTTCTGCACCAACTGAAGTTTTCAGATTGATTTTGCAGTGAGACCAATGTACAGTGCATTAAAGTAGTCTAGTCTCAATGTAACATGGCCAAAAAGCTGTTTCAAGGCAAGAAGCCATATTTTTGGACTATGCTGAGTTGGAAGAAAGCCTTTTTTTTGCAGCTACACTAGCTTGCTTCCCCAGCAGTATTGTTAGGTCCTGTATAATCCAAAGGCTCTTAACCAAGGGAGTAAGGGTCAGCTAAACTCCATCAAAAGTGGGGAACATAATGCCCTTCAAGATCTCTGCCTTCTGAACCATCATTACCTCCGTCTTGTCAGAGTTTAGTTTCAATTTATTCACTCTTAGCCAATTTACCACTTCAGGAAGGCAGGAATTTAGGACCTCTACTGCATCACCAGGAGCCTTGGATAAGGTTATATAGAACTCAGTATCATATACATATAAATGACAACCAGCCCAAAAGCTATGAATGATTTGTCATAAGGTCATTACATAGAGATTGAAAAGCATGAGGGATAGAATTGTGCCCTGTGGAACTCCACAAGTTAAGTCCCACAGTGATGTTAGATAAAGTTAGAGTGGGATCAATCCGCTTCCTTTTTCCTGAGGACCACATAAGAGTGTGAATTTAACAGTTGAGAGATTATTATTTTTTGTATTTTTATGTGTGTGTGCACCTGGAAGTCATGGTGACCTCTGGTGACTGACCCCTACTGGGGGGCCTGAAGGATATTCAGAGAGGTGGCTGAATAAAGCCTGCCCCCACCTCTGGTATTCCAAGGAGGGTCTCCCATCCAAGTACTTGCCAGAGTCGACCCTGCTTAGCTTCCGAGATCTGACAAGATTGGGCTTGACTGGGCTATTCAGGTCAGGGCACCTGAGAGAGTATTTGAATTTAAGATGCCCCTGCCAAAGACTAGTTTTCCATTGTATCTTCTACATCTCATCAGTGGGGAGCCAATATAGGTGTAATGGTTAGAAGCTGGACTAGACCTGGGCTGACCCAGATTTAAATTCCTGCTTGCCATAAAATGTTGGGACAGTTATACTCTCCTAGTATAACCACAGCCACAGAGCTGTAGTGAGAGTTCAGTGGAGGAGAACTATGCATGGTGAAGTGGGACAGTGGGCCACCAGAAAAATAAAATTGTATTCATTGTTACACTTATAAACACCAAAATATGAGACTGTTTAAGATTAGCTAGTAACTGCTCACATTAAAGAACAGTTCCGCAAGACACAATCCAGTTTGCAAAGGACTTTTACTTACGGTGCCTAAAATTGCTGAAGTTTAAATGTCCAATCTGAAATAAATGTCTTCTCCCACTTAAATTTCTATTTAATATGCAATTAAAATTTGCATATTAACTAGAAATTTAAGTGGCGGTAGACTGGAAGGTAAATTAATGTGTATGAATACCAGAAAATTGTTTTTGAGGGAATCCCATGTTAGTTGGATTTATACTTGAATATTTAAACTTAATGAATTATGATCTGGCAGGAGGTGGGGCTATATGTCCCTACTTGGGAGTGCAGCTTCCCTGATGATCACTTTATTAGTATTTTGCTTTTGAGCACAACAGTGGCTTGAGTTGCTTTTCATCCTCTGTATCTAATGTCCTTGGGGCACAATTTAACATAATGTCATAACCAAGTAGCTGTCTGGATGAGTAGTTACAGTGGGCTTTAATTTACAATAGTTTTGCTGTTAGAGTTTTGTTGTATATAAACTTAAAATTGAATTCAGGAGCTAACCAGGCTTGCCTGTTCCTTCTGAATCTCTTTAGGGGGGAAATTCCACAAGTAATTGGATAGAACCACATTATTCCATTCCACAACAATAATTTATTTTAAAATCTGACTATAAAATCATGCCTGAATCATCCAAGCATCCCCTAAACATAGCTAACTTTATTTTGTAGTCATGACACTTGCCATTAGTCCAAATCTGTGATTATCCGCAGAGAATGAATCTACCTTAGCACAGGTTAGGACTGTTGTGGCCCAGAGCAGCTTTATTTGTTTGGTCTATTAGCTCTTTTGAGTCCAGCTGGACAGGATATATTAACAGACTCATCCTATGCCCTTTCCTGCTTTTTTTACAAAGTATATTGTAACCATATATAGTCACAGTTTGGATCAGGACCACACAGAGAGGGGAGTATATTCAGTGTTCCCTCTAGGCTGAGTTAGTGTGAGCTAGCTCACAGTTTTTTATCCTCCGGCTCACACATTTTTGTCTTCGTCCAGGAAGGATGGCTCCAGAGCAAACTAATTTATGCAGTAGCCAAATTGCTCACTCACAACTTTAATGTCAGTAGCTCACAAAGTAGAATTTTTGCTCACAAGACTCCACAGCTTAGAGGGAGCACTGTATATTGCACAGTTTCAGAACCTCTTATATTCACACGTATGCTGTTACTAACTTTGGAAGGAAAATGTGCCATCCTTTTTTCTGTTCCAGAGTTGCTAATGGCTATTGTCATGGGGAGGCAGTTTTGATTTGCAGTCTGATACAGGCTCATAGACAATAATGGTATTTTCCTTTGGTTTATCCTGGTTTAGAAACAGATAACCTTGAATTGTATGTTAAAATCTGAATATAAATTGGAGTGGAAGTCTTTGATCATGCTTTAGCTCTAAGGAGAGGAGGGATGGAGCCAGCACATGAGCATGCCAAAATCAGATTTGTGCCTATCATGCTCAAACCTCTATTTGTTCATGGTTTTAATGGGAAGACTGTAGATAGGATCTTAACTTTTTATTTTGTTAGGGTGTTTTTAAAATTTTCTTGGTAAGGGCTCTTTGCCCACTACTCAAGCAAGATTTTCCCTCCTTCCCACCCCCTGTAACTTCAGGCATCTTTGCTTTATGTTAATTTGTTTCACAGTTCATTTATTTGTGTACTCAACATAAGTATCAAACAGGTTGCTGATTAAAATGTCTCTTGTTCTAATAAAGTTTCAAAATGCATGACTGTTACTTGGCAGTTTTTGACTCTTGAAGCTGTGAAAGGGCAGTGCCTCAAACAGGATCCTGGAACTGTGAAATCAGAGTCAGGGAATATGTCCCCACCCCCATCAACTCTCTCTTACATCCAGAGAACAAAATTTGAGTTTGGTGGCACCTTTAAGACCAGCAGAGTTTTATTCAAGGTATAAGCTTTCGTGTGCTATCAGTCCATACATATAGGCAGAGGGTGAGCAGCAATTAGCATACAAGTTATTTAAGATGTTTAACA